GCACACTGCCACCGGGCTGGTGCAGCAGCCGCTTCCGCCCCGGTGCCGGAGCAGCGAGGTGGGGATGGCTGATCCCAGCCTGACATTTCCTGCGGAGCACATGTCCCCCCCCCATGCTCTTTAACTCCCTAAATCCGGCTCCCGCCTGTGCTCCTGCCCTCCTTCCCTTTGGCATTTTCGCTAAGTCTCTCCGCTATTTGAGGAAGGGCATCGATGCCTCCTTCGGAGCCCGGGGAAAGCTCTCGGCCTGCTCTTTGTTTAAACACCTTTGACTTTTAAAGCCCCCTGCAAACAAATACTGCTTTACTCGCCGTGCTGCCTCAGCCCAGCCCCTGCATCCCCCCCTCCGGCCCCTCCAATCGCTCCGCAAAGGGAATTCCCCTGCGCCCCGGTGGGACCCGTGCTTTGGAAAATCCATGTGAGCCTTCAGTTCAGCAGCTGCAGGGAAGATGCTAAAACACCTTCTGCCCCTCTGGTAGTTTCTAGCTGGCAGAGATGGGGTGGGTACCGGGGGGCTGCGGGATGCTCGCTGCTCGATTTGCTTTTTAATGGGGCAGGTGATGGGGCTGCCAGCCCTCCTGGCGGGACGTGGTTTGGTGGTCCATTGGGTCCCTGCGGGAGGGAGTTTGCTGCTATCCAGGCACCGCGTGCGTTTGCCTTCGCCAGCGCTCCATTTAACTCCATCCATCATCGCGCCACTCCCGGGGGCACTGCGGGCTGGGCTTTGCGGCGAGGGCTGCTGGTTTTTTTTTTCCCCTCTGGCGTTGCGGAGATGCTGCAGCGCCCGTCCCTGCTCCGCTGGGGCCGGAGACTTGGGCTCCTCAGCGCAACGGTCCCTGGCATTGCCGGCCGGCGTGAGTCCCTGCCGTGCTGGCACCGTGTGTGCTGCAGCGGAAATCCTTGGCGCGTTGTCCGACGGATGGCACCAGCCTTGGGGACAGGGAGGGGACAGGCAGCTTGGGGCACCGTGGAGCCCCTGCCAGCCTGGAGGGATGCAGGAGCTCCCCGGGCAGCAGGGGGGACCAAATCTCCCTGAATTTCGAGAGGATTTGCGTGCAGAAAGCTCCACCCGGGTTGGCAGATGGTCTCCTTGTATCCCGCTCCGCACAACCGTGTGTCCCCTGCCTCTGTGCTGGTGTTTCCCTGCCTGGAAGAGCCTTTGCCAGGTCAAATGGCCCCATCTCAGCAGTCCCCCTGCTTTTTGCCCCCCCTCCCCCCGGGAGCAGGGGGAGGACAGCCCCTGCCCCTCTTCTGCAGGTGGGGAGATGAGAGTGGTTGGTACCTCTGGCCGGGTCAGGGCGAGATGCTCGCTGGCTGCCCCAGGCTGCGGTTAGGTGGCGGGAGCAGATCGTCCCATCCGGCTGCTCGGGGCCGGGTCTGAGATGCACCATGGTCCAGGCAGCGCGTTTCGGCGGGCTGCGGGGATGGGGAAGTGGCAGAGCAGCATTTCTGGTATGTTGGCAATGTCCCCCCGTGCTGTTGGGGGCAGCTGGGACCGAGCAGCGATAGGGCTGTAGCTCTCCCATCCAGGGTGCGCTAAGGCAAGGCCGTGCTGCTTCCGTCCACCCGCCTGCCCGTCCCTCCGCTGCATTTTCGGCAGATGCCGAGCTGCTGGCTGGCCCCACGTCTCGCTGACTGGCCACCAGCTTTGCCCTGTCTGCAAGCTTGGGCAGGGGAAGGTCTACGCCGGCTTCGAGAGCTGGCCTGGCTCCTGGAGCGCCTGGCAAGTGTTACGTCCCGCTGGTGTCCCCTTGTCCCCTGGTGCTCCATCCGACACGCCACCAACCCTCCGTGGAGGGTTCTGGAAATTAGCTGCCAGATGTATTGCCTTGATCCTCGCAACCCCTGGGAGCGGTGCTACGCCTGGCTGGGCCCCCCCCCCCCCCGGCCGGGTGCCTGGGAGGTTTGCCCGGCCCCGAGGAGCTGGGTGGGGGTTTGAAAAGCGTCTCAGGGGGGGCAGCGATGAGCTCTCGGGATGCAGTGCTGGCATCTCAGGTCCATCGGGTTATCGCAGCCCCTCCGGAAGGAACCCCAGATGTACCACGCTACAACGGACGTGGCTTCTTAGCGGCTTTTTATCTCCTTTTAAGCCAAGAGTCGGTCCTAGTCTGAAAATATAATTAATGAACAAGTTGCTGCCTCTTTAAAACATCATGTAATTTCTTTGCAAGTGCAGTAGTGGTCGATTTCTAGAAGCCAAGATTAGTATTAATAAAGCAGGAATTAGGTACAGTATTAACCTTTTCCATCAATCTCTATTTATTGAGTCGTTAATTAGAGACATCTAATTTCCCAGGCCAATTCTGCCTGGCCATGGGGGCTGGGGAGGAGGCAGGGAGGAAGCAGGATGCTGTTTTATTGCTTACACGCTGATGAATTTTGCCAGGCCGGGGTCTGATGGCGGGGAAGGAGCCCTTTGCATACCGAGCATCCTGGGGGCAGGTCCAGCAGCAGGGAAAGCCCCGGAGCGGCTTATAAACCAAAAGCACGTTATATTTATCAAATATAGCGGCAACCCCGTATTAAACCCCTGCTTTATTGTGTTAACAAGTCTGTATTGGATTTTTCTCGGCTGCGAAACCTTACACTTGGCAGCGGTATTCTATTAGCAGCCAAAGCGTCAGTTTTGAACTCGAAGCGGGATTAATTTATTATTAAGTAAGAAAGAGCTGAGTGGGGCCGCTGCGGATTGAGGAGTTGATGGCGTGTGACTAGCGAGTTACGCGTGGAGGTTATTCGCTGTCCTACGGGGTTGAATATTTACGAGTCGTCCCGGCTGCGGGTGGCTCGGGGACAGCGTGGGGTCAGGCAGGGCGAGAGGAGCCCGGGGAGGCTGCGTGCACCAGGGATGGGGCGCGGGCTCGGTCCCGGCCTCGAAGAGCTGCAGAGTCCTGCTGGGAGCTGTTGGGTGGTGGGAGAAAAGCTTTGGCTTCGGCAGGGGTGAGCTTTTTCAAAAGAAAATTAGATGCCGGGTGGAGAAGGGCAATGTAAATGATAAAGGGGTGAGCGTCCTCGTTTGGGGCAAATTTGAAAGCTGCGCTGGCCACGGTGTAAAGGTTTGCAGAGTCGGTCCCTCCCGGTGACCGGTGTCCCCATGCCTGCGGAGCCACCCCTCCGGCGCGGGATGGGGCCGAAGGGCTGGGTGACGCCGGGGTTTGTTTTGCCCCACGGCGAGGGTGCGATCGCCGGGACGCTGGCGGCTGGCAGAGGCGGCTGCAGCCAAGGGGGTTTCCCCTCGCTGTTGAAGCAGGCCAGGATCTCGCTGTGGTGTTGTGCGTGTCTCCGTGTGGTTGCAGATGCCTTTGGGGAAGGAAAAAGAGTGACTGGAGCATCCCCCCAAGGAGCTGTCGGGGTGCAGGGCTGCTTCGGGTACGGCTCCTCCTTTGGACGGGACCCGCCGCCCCCAGCTCCCTAAGGGCGGCAAATTATTCCCAGCGTTTTGTTTTGGGAAATCAAAGCAAAACTTGCTGTTCGTCTTTTGGAACAGGGGGAACGCGGCTTTTCTGGCGACATTTAGCCATCTCTCTGCATCTCTCCACCTCCGCTGCATCCTGACGGCGGGTGCTCCTCTCCGCCTCCTCCCAGGAGTTGGTTTTCTTGTTTATTTTAACGGAGTGGGTCAGAAAAAGCTTCTTCCCTAATGAAGCGCGGTGGAGTGAAGGCGGCTGAGCTAAGCGGGGAGGCAGCGGCAGCGCCGAGGGGATTAACAAAGCCAAATTCGGCCGAGGGGAGCACCTCTCCCTTTGTGCCCGCGACCGGGGGGCTGGGTGGCAGCTGGGAGG